TACCCACCTACACCACACACACACATGCACACACACACACACACACACACACACACACACACACACACACGACCCAGGAAATTGGTTCCTGAGAGATTTAAACAAGATCACCTTCCTTTACCTACTAACATCAATAGCAACAGTAAAACTCAAGCCTGGGCTCAGGCTCACTCAACCGTCAGCTTAACCCTGACCCTCCTAGCAAGGGGCTCAGAAAAGGGGTGCCCTTTTCCACCCACAAAAACCCTTTTAAAATCCAACCTCTACTATCTTACGTCGGAGGGCAGTCATCTTGGTCTTGTAGTTGGCAAAGGACAGGCGGGCGTTACAAATACTTTTCCCGGCTTCTGCCGCATCTACCAATACTTCTGCTCTTCTCTCTTTGAGGTCTTCCTTGATCGCATCTCTGCACTGCTTTGCGAGCTCGGACGTTAGCTTGCAGTTGCCTGAGGCATGCGCCAAACCACGCTGGTGAATTAGCTCAAGAGTTTTCGAAGATAGGCGATTTTTTGTGGCTATCTCTCTCTTGGCGTTCCTCGCACATTCATGGAGGTGCTGAACCAGTCGATCGTATTCCTCGTCAATGTTGTCAACAATGGCATCTTCCCATGTTGCCTCAATAGTACCAAAGAGTTCCCAGTTGGTGGTCGTTCTGGGAGTTCTCTTTTTGAACTTTGCAGCCCTTTCTCCCCACTCTGTGAAGTAGAATTTTGCACGAAGGAGACGGTGGTCCGATCCCGTTCGAAATTTTGGGACAACAGCGACATCAGTCAGGCAAAACCATCGATTGAATATGATGTGGTCTATTTTGTTGTGGAATCATCCACCGGGAGACTCCCATGTCCATCGTTTAGATTCTGCCTTCTGGAACTGTGAGTTACCATGAATGGTCTTGGTCGACATGATGAACTCAGACAGTCTCTCACCCTGTTCGTTCCATTCTAGGCCATGGGTCCCGATGTGAAGTTCTTCAGCTGATCTTCTCGGTCCTATCTTGGCATTAAAAGCACCCACAATGATCTTGAAGAAGATGTGGTCTTCTTTATAGAACTTCTCTAGCTCCATGTAGAACTTCTCGATTTCTCTTTCATCATAATGAGATGTTGGTGCGCAGACAACGAAGATAGAAACTGCAGGCAGTGAGCCACATCTATTCAAATGTAAACATCCGATTCGGGTTGTTAGGGATTCGAATGAATCAATGCTCTTGGCCAAGTTTGTGTTGACAAGGACACCAACGCCTCCAACACCTCTTTTATCGCATGTTCCGAGGAACAATTCTTCTCCAGTGTCGAAAACGGCATGGTGAGATTCGTGCCTTCTTGTCTCAGTCAGACCAATGATGTCGTACTTGATCATTCACGCTTGTACCATCAGGTCCTCGATGGATGCATCTGATGCTAGCGTACGTGCATTGAAAGTACAGACGATCATTTTTGTCTTCCTTCATTGTGGCAGCCTAGGTCGGCCTTGAGATTTTGTCGGCCTCTCCTTTCTCATCCTTCTCAGTGCTGCCATGTCGGTGAAGCCTTCAGGATCAGGTGAATGAGACCAGTTGTAGTTACTGGTTTTGGCATATCGAATACCAGGATGTGGATCCATCACATCCTCCAGAATGGCATTGGAGAAGATTATCCATGACTTCTACTCAAATCTCTTTGATAGCCATGTCCACTTGCCGACATACCAAATTCCACAGGATGGATATGTCGTTCCCAACGTTCTCCCTTCCGAAATCCGACACGCCATTTCGTCAGTAAAGAAACAAACAGCACCCGGCCCAGACAAGGTCAGACCTGAACACCTGAAGAACCTGCCATCAGTACTCATCAATACACTGGCTCAGCTCTTCACTCGCTACCTGTCTGAATGCAAGGTTCCGTCCCAATGGAAAACCAGCAGGACCGTACTACTGTTCAAGAAGGGAGACATCCATGACATTGGCAACTATCGCCCGATCTGCCTGTTGTCTGTCATCTACAAGTTGTTCACTCGAGTCATCCTAAATAGGATTAGCAGAACACTAGATGAAGGACAACCATGCGAGCAAGCAGGGTTCCGCAAAGGATTCAGCACCATCGACCATATCCACACGATAACCAAGCTCATTGAGGTTTCTCAGGAGTTCAAGATGCCGCTCTGTTTAATGTTCATTGATTTAAAGAAGGCCTTTGATTTTGTTGAGACGGAAGCGGTCATTGAAGCCCTAGCCAATCAGGGCATTCAAGCCCAATACATCAGGATCCTCCGGGAGCTATATTGCGGATTCACTACCAGGATCTCACCATTCTACAAAGAAGTGATCGTTGATGTCAAGAGAGGGGTGCGGCAGGGTGATACCATTTCACCGAAACTCTTCAGTGCCACCCTCGAGAATGTCATGCAACGACTGGAATGGGAAGGAATGGGAGTGAAGATAGATGGTCGGCAACTATACCACCTCCGCTTTGCTGATGACATTGTTTTAATAACACCAAACATCAGTCAAGCGGCACAAATGCTGGCCGACTTTGACCGTGTGTGGAAAGGTAGGACTACAGCTGAATCTTACGAAGACAATGTTTATGAGAAACAGCCTCGTTCCTGACGCCCCATTCGCTGTCAATGGAACGACCATCTCCGAATGCAACAGCTATGCGTACCTAGGTCGAGAGGTCAACATGACAAATGACCTGGGACCTGAGCTGCGCAGGAGGAAGAGAGCGGCTTGGAACACCTTCAAGAACGTCGAAGAAATAGCTAAGAGGATGAAGAACCTCCAGCTCCAGGCAAATCTCTTTGATTCCACTGTTCTTCCTGCATTAACATATGCCTCAGAGACCTGGGCCCTACGCAAACAAGATGAGAACGCTATTCAGGTCTCCCAAAGAAGAATAGAAAGAGCTATGCTTGGAATATCACGTTTCACTCAAATGAGAGAAAGAATCCGGAGTTCTGACATCCGTCGACGATCAAGAATCAGGGACACTGTCTCATTTGCCAAGGTGTCAAAAATCAGATGGGCTGGTCACGTAATGAGATTTAAAGACGACCGCTGGACTAGAGCTGTTACTGACTGGATTCCACGGGATGTCAAAAGACCACGTGGCCGCCCACCTACCAGATGGTCAGACTTCTTCGTCAAGATCATGAACGATCGGTTTGAGGTCCTTCATGTTCCGGAGCGAACAGATGCCATTGGGCAACACTAGCACGCGACAGGGACAAATGGAGATGTTACTGGCACCCGCTCGAGCAAATCGACGACTAACGGGAAGTTAAGTGATTAAGTGACTATCTTACACTGGATAACACCCAAACTTTCAAAGCATAACCAACACAAAAAAGAGAGCAATTTTAAGAACCAGACTGGGCTACCACACAACTCTCGGGACTGTCCAATGAGGAACGCAAAGTTGCTGACTAGAACCAGCGAGAGCGCAAGCAGTGGGTCCCCGGTCTGACCCCAGCACCACTAGGTGTGGCCCCTACTGGAATAAAATGATAAAAGCTCTATTAAAAAGAGCAACATAGGGTCCCAAGAGCAGATAGGGTACAAGCAGATAGGGTACTTGCACACAGCTGACCCAAGTTCAATCCTGGGTACCTCATATTTGTACCCAAGCCCCGCCAGGAGTGATCTCTGAGCATAGAGCCAGGAGTAAGCCTTGAGGACTGCCGGGTGTGCCTTGGCCCCCAAAAAATAAATACACAAGGTCAGATGTGTAATTCAGCAAAAAGATGGGAACAAAGTTGGAGTGATCATATCGCAGGTTAAGGTGCTTGCCTATCACACAGCCAACCTGGGTTCAATGTCCTATACCACTTATGGTTCCTCAAGCCCTGGTATGAGTGACCCCTGAATACCACTGAGTATCTCCCACGCCAAAAATAAAGTTGCCGGCTGACGCGATAATACAGCAGGTAGGGAGTTTGCCTTACACGAAGCTAACCCGGGCTCCATCCCCAGCATCCCATATGGTCCCCTAAAGCCCGTCAAGAGTAATTCCTGAGTGCAGAGCGAGCATCGCCAGGTGTGACCCAACACTGCCGCCCCTCCCAAAAAATAAACCCCCTGAGCACCGAAGGATGTACCCAAAACCAAAACAGAACGAAAAAGAATGATGAGGAATTCAGGGGGCCTTGCCTAAAAGCGATTGGGTGAGGTTATCTTAGTACAATAGGGGTGTGACCAGGTGAATAGGTGTCTGGAGAAAAAGAACTCTACTAGGGGATAAGAGGAAGATCAAACACTTGACCATCCCAAAGCTCCCTTTGGGTGAGCAGCCAGATTTGTCTGATTCAGAGGGCGCGGGACAACCTCATGGGCTGTGAACGGCTCCTCCTGGTTCTGCTAATCCCCGAAGTCTTGTGAGCAAGTGAAACCGGAGGATAAAAAAAATCCTTCGTAAAACAAAGAGTTCGCGGGCCGGAGGCTTAGGAGAGCGGGTAGGGCGTTTGTTTGCCTTGCACCCGGCCCACCCGGGTTCGATCCTCGGCATCCCAGACAGTCTCCCGAGCTCTGCCAGGAATGACTCGTGAGTGCAGCGCCAGGAGTCACCCCTGAGCACTCCCGGCTGTGGGCCCAAAACAGAAAAATAAACAAACCAAATAACCCAACTGTTCCATACTTGGCAGTATGCGAAGCCTATTTCCAGTAACTCTGAGCAGGAAACTTTTATCCTCATCAGATAAGAAAAGGATACGGGGTGACAGACCCAGCCTGCCTACAACACCGGGTCAAAACCGGACAGGCTCTGCAGTCCCCACAGCGCTCCCGGCCGCGACCCGGGTCAGCGAGCTCGCCCGGGGCGCCGGGTTCCCGCCCCCGCACCGAGCCGCTGCGGGTCACACGCGGCGCGGGGCGGGGCCTGCGAGGACTGGGCCGGCGGGCTGGCGGGTCACCGACGGATCGGGGGTGGGGCCTGCGAGGAGGGGCGGGGCCTGAAGGTCACGTGCGGCGCGGGGGCGGGGCCGGCGGGGTGCTGCGCGCAGGCGCGCCGCAGGCGGACGGAGCCGAGCCTGCCGGGCCGTGCGGGCGCTGGGTCCCGGGGGCCGCCGCCGCCGCCGCCGCCGCCGCCGCCGCCGCGTCCGGTCCATTCCGTCACCAGCCGGGGCTCGGGCCCGGGCCCGGGCCCCCGGGGCATGGCCCTCCGGAGCGCTCAGGGCGACGCCTCCACCTCCAGCCGCTGGAGCGGCGGCTCCGAGAAGACAGGTACGGAAGCCGGCCGGGGCGCGCCGGAGCGGCCTGCCCGAGGGGCCCGCGACAGCTGTCGGGCGGCGGGGCCGGGCCGGGCGAGGCCGAGGGGGGCCGGGCTTCTGTCGGTGGGGGCGCGGGACGGCGAGCGGTCCTTCGGAGAGGGGTCCGTGGACGCGCCCGCGTCCCTGCGGGGAGGACGGGGCGGGGTCTCCCGGACCCCCGCCCGCGCCCGGCCCGAGGACGTGGCCCTCGGGAGCGTCCGCTCCGTCGCCGCCGCCGTCCGCCCCGGCCCCGCAGCCCCGGCTCGCCCCCGAGTTTGCAGGTCACTTGGCTACGTGAACGAACGGCGGGCGACCCGATGTTGTCCCTGCTTTTCCTGTGTCCCGCTCGCGCGAGAGGGCGGGCGGCGGGAGATGAGTTGGCCCCGCGCGTGGCGGTCGCCCCGAGGGGGTCCTGACGCGCTCCGGGCACCGCGCGGGTCGTGTTTCCTGGTTCTTTTTGTTTGTTTGTTTGTTTCCTCTCCATATCCCTGGGTGGAAGTGGAGCTTAAGTGCCCCCCTTGTTGACAAAGAGAGACCCTTTGGCATTGTCACCCTTTCCGGGTGATTGTGAGCTGTCTGCCCTCGTGGCATCATAGTGGCCCTGAAGGTGGGGGTCTTGTCACTTGCTGAGGCTTGACGTCCCCCCCCCCCCCGCCCCAATCCCCACTTTTCATCGTTTTTTTTTTCTTGCTTCTCTGGATGAATGGTGGATGAATGGGGGACCGATTAGCCATAAGTTTTAGGAGTGGGTTTTTTGGGGGGAGGAGGGGTTTGGGTTTGCCCTCTCATTAATCATATTGAAGAATTGATTGACAGAGTTCAGACGCTCCTTTGTAGAGTTCCTCATCAGCCCCGTTTGCTCTGAGATTGTTCCCCCCGGGTTGGGGGAAAGCGGTCTTTTTTTTTTTTTTTTTTTGGGTTTGTGTTTCAAGTAGCACTCTAGCACTGTCATCCCGTTGTTCATCAGTTTGCTCCAGCGGGCACCAGTAACATCTCCATTGTGAGACTTGGTGTTACTGTTTTTTGGCATATCTAATAAGCCAGGGGTATTTCAAGTAGTTAATGAGTTTCTCCTAATTTGAGTGCTGTTTGTTGAATCTAGCCAGGGCCATCCTGAACAGAGGCTACTTTGTTGTACTTTGTTTTTTAATAGGAACTTGCTGGGAATCAGGTAAAGTTTTCCTCTTTGGCTTGGCTAGTCCTCCATTATCGGATAATCTGCTGTTCAGATTCCCAGTGTCATCCTCAGGAAGGAGTGGGATCACGGCGGTAGGGGTGTCTGTGTAAGGGACATCAGTTTGTCTCTCACTCTTTACTGACCAGCTGCAACACTTGTATTTTGGTATTTGGACTACACCCAGTGATGCTCAGAACTTAATCCTGATGGGACTTGGGGGACCGCATGGGGTTCCAGGGCCTTGCAAGACAAACATCTCCTTACTAGCGCCATCTCTCTGGTCCCTCTTGCATTGTTTCTGATTAAGGTAATCGCTGATTATTCTGAGCTTAACTTCTGTTTAAATATTGTGAAAACTTGGGGCTGGAGAGATAGCACAGTGGGTAGGGCGTTTGCCTTGCATTGCATGCGGCCGACCTGGGTTCGATTCCCAGCATCCCATATGGTCCCCTGTGCAATGCCGGATGTGACCCAAAAAGCAAAAAATAAATAAATAAAAATTGGAAAGCTTTCTTTGGGGGGAGGGGGCATACCCTCCTGGGCTCAGGGCTGACTCCTGACTCTGTACTCAGAGATCACTCTTTGCAGCACCCAGAGGACCATATGGGGGGGGAGGGCAGGGATCAAACCCAGGTTGGCGGCATGCAAAGCAAGTGTCCTACTCACTGTACTCTCACTCTAACCTCCCCTCCTATGCTTTTTTTGGGGTTGTCACACCCACTGATGCTCGGGGTTTACTTCTGGCTTTGCTGGAACTACTCCTGGCGGAACTCAGGGGCTGGGAGTGGAGGGAAACCATCTGGGATGTTGGGGAATGGACCCAGGTCAACCACATGCAAGTCAAATGCCCTGCCCGCTGTCCTATCACTTCTCCCTCTCTCCCCCAAAATGCTTTTTTGATATGCAAGTTAAGTCAGATACTCAGCATGGAATTTTTTCTTTATAAGATTGTGATTGGGGCTGAAGTGATGGTACAGTGGGTAGGGCACTTGCCTTGCATATGCCCAACCCAGGTTTGATCTCTGCCATCCCATATGGTCCCATGGTCCCCTAAACACTGCCAGGAATAATTCCTGAGTGCTGAGCCAGGAATAACCAGAGAGAGAGAGAGAGAGAGAGAGAGAGAATTGTGATTAGTGGGGCTAGAGAGATAGTACAGCAGTTGTAAGCTTCTTTCCATGCAGTGTTCAGCCCAGGTTTTGATCCATGGTACCCCATATGATCTCTCAAGCCCTCCAGAAGTGGTACAGAGCCAGGAATAAATCCTGAACAGCCAGGGATCAAAAAAAAAAATTCTTTAAGTATGTAGGTTCTTTACTTGATTGATATATAGCCATAATGTTTATTGAACTGATGTGAAAAGAAATTTTTAAAGTGTTTTTTTATGCTCATTTTTGGTCTTCATTCTTCCCTGGATTTTAAATTCCCCAAATCCAGGTGTTTGAGAGATACCTGTTGCTTTGAGGCAGGAATCTTCACCTGGATTTTCAGCCAGAGTTGGGAAAGCTTTGAGTCAATGGGCTCAACCATCTCTGTTTTGTTTTGTTTTGTTTTGTTTTGTTTTGTTCTTGGGTCACACCCAGCAGTACTCAGAACCTATTTCTGTCTGTGGGCTCAGGGATTATTCCTAGCAGACTGGGGGGACCATACAGGGTGCCTGGGATTGAACCTGAGTCAAGCATGTGTAAGGCAAGCACCCTATCTGCTGTTTTATCTTTCAGTCCCCTCAGCCATCTTTATCTGAAGGGTTTAGAGTAAGTACTTTTAGTGTCCTGTATTCTTCCTCCTAAGTATCCTTTCTTTCTTTCTTTCTTTCTTTTTTTTTTGACTTTTTGGGTCACACTTGGCAATGTTCCTGGCTCTGCACTCAGGAATTACTCCTGGTGGTGCTTGGGGGACCATATGGGATGCCGGGGATTGAACCCAGGTCGGCCTTGTGCAAGGCAAACACCCTGCCTTGTACTATCGCTCCAGCCCTGAGTATCCTTTATTTCTCTCTCCTCTCTGCTAGGTATTGAACCCAGGTTCTGTACACATTTGCACTGCCACTGCACTACATCCCCACCCTTTATTGTACCTTTTTTTTTTTGCTTTTGGGGTCACACCCGGCGATGCACAGGGGTTACTTCCTGGCTCATACACTCAGGAATTACTCCTGGCAGTGCTCAGGGGACCATATAGAATGCTGGGAATCGAACCCGAGTTGGCCGCGTGCAGGGCAAATGCCCTACCACTGTACTATCGCTCTAGCCCCTATTGTACCTTATTAACATGATTATTTTCATGGAGAGGAGACCAGGAAGTCCCTATATTATTTCTTTTATCTTTGTTGAATGAATTACTTTTCAGGCACCAGCAGTTTATTTATAGCACTGTCCTATATTTTGTAGCCAGCTGTGGGATAGTTGTTTCATTCTGTGGTAGTTATGATATCCAAGACATCTTTGCTATGAAGGAATTTGGACACTATCAGCTTTGAAACATAAAGTAAGTCTCCCTCATAAGTGGACAGTGAAGAAATAAAAAAAATAGTTCAGGGGGGTTTGTTTGGGTTATTTTTGCAGGGGGGTGGGGAGCAGGGAAGGGGTTATTGGGCCACACCCAGTGGTGTTCAGGGGCTATTCCTGGCTTTGTACTCAAGGGATCATTCCTGGCAGTACTCAGGGGACCATATGCTGTGCTGGGAATGGAACCAAGGTCATCCGTCGTTCAGGCAAGCAGCCTACCCCTGTACTATCTCTCCAGCCCCAGTTGAGCTATTTGGATGTCATGTGCTACTTTCATATGAACTTTGGTCGTGACCCTGCATGTAGCATTCTCAAGTCCACCTCCGCAATCCACTTAAAAGAATTTTCAATAAAATGCAGTAGGTATTAATTTTAATCTTTAAGTGTCCAAAGAATAGTTTTTTCCCTTTTCCAGGATGAAGAAGATAGATGTAAACTAGTTGTTTGGCTGACACTCTGCCAACTTCCTCCTCCCCCACCCCCCATTTTGTCATTTATTAGTTAACCTTGTTTCCTGCCTGAGAAGGTGAGGCAAAGGGAAAGAACAGAGGCTGAAAGCACTGAAACTTACCTGAGTTTTCTCCTCCCTTTTTATGACATGATGGACTCTCCTTTAGGTGCAGTGAAATTGTGGGCATGGTTGTCCCACCTCTCCCACTGACATTGAATGCCTAGAACAGGGGAGAGTTGAGTAAGGTGCTATTGGAGCCGAATGTACACCTCTACAATCTACATTTGGACCACCCCAGCGGGTGCTTTCTTGTTCGTTTTGCTTTGGAGGCCACACCTAGCAGTGCTCAGGGCTTACTCCTTACTGTCTGCACAGAATCTTTCCTGGCAGGACTAGGGTACCATATGGGTGCCAGGGATCGAACCTGGATCAGCCGTGTACAAGGCCCTATCTGCTGTACTCTCTCTTCAGTGCTCTCCCACAGTTATTTTTTAGAGGCCAAAGTGTCTGGGAATCTACTGGGAATCTACAGGGAAACTACAGGAAGCTTATTCTAACAGTGGGATGGGAAAGGTAATGCAGTTTACTAGATAGACCAGTTTTTTTTTTTTTTTTTTCGGAGAAACAGTAGCGAAATTACTTAATTTTGTTCTTATTTATTCAGTACCCACAAAGTGCCATGGAGAAGTTGATTGTAGATTTTGAAATGCAGGATTTAAACTAGGACCAGAACACAGTATTAAGAGAGGTATTAAAACTGTGCCATGTGTTAACAATGAGGTAAAGTTCTGGCGTTATTTGCCAATACCTAATGGCAAGCCAACTGATTGCAACAAGTTTTTCCCCCCAGCAGGACATAAGCAACACTTTCCTTTCCCCTAGATTGCTGAGTGGGTGACTTGGGCTGAGAAGCAGGACGGATGTATATCTAAACAAACGGAGGAAATTTTTCTCTTCGCGAACTGACAAGGTTTCTGAATATCAGCTTATCTGAGGTGGTAGTGTTTACATACCATTATTAAGTGCTCTTGCATTGTGGAAAGTGCAAGGGCCCCCTGAGTTTGAAAACAGTTCAAATGGCGCTGGACAACTCAGGGGGCTGGCATGCCGGAGACTCGCTCCCTCGCTGCACTTTAGGGGAGACCCCCACCCCACGGGCGAGGAGTAGCCTCAAACATATAGATGTATGTATATGTATATCGCATAAATGTTTTTCTTTTTTCTTTTGTTTCGTTTTTTTGGGCGCACTTGTCAGCCACCACCATGCCGAGACCACTCTCCGCACACATGACGGTACCGGCAGAGGGACAAAGCCACGCGGGTTCCGGGGCCGAGATCTCGAAGCCTACTCGGATTGGAGTTGAGCATCCTCCACCCAGATCCTCCAAATTCCAGTAGGCGGGGGTCACACCCACCACCTGGCCCCCTGGTGCCGTGTAATCCCATCAGCGGCCAAGACTCAGAGACTATAAAATCCAGCTCCCGGAACCGCGCGGCCGAGCAACATCTTATCAGGACATCTTTTTATGACATTTTATTATCTCATTCCTACTTTGGACAAACTTGCAGGCTATCGAATATAGCCTGCCCACAGGGCAGAGTCTGGCAAACTCCCCGTGGCGTACCAAATATGCCAAATACCAGTAACAATGATGGGTCTCATTCTCCTAAAGAGCCTTGAATATAATCTCAGGGCGAGGATGAAGGAGACGTTATTGGGGCCTGCTCGAGGCAATTGACGAATAACAGGATGATAAATGAATGAATGAATGAACTTGTCAGTGCTTACTCCCAGCTCTTTGCTCAGGGATCACTGCCGAAGGGGCTTCAAGGGACCATATGGGCTGCCAGGGATCAAACCTGGTTTGGCTGCATGTAAGGCGAGCGCCCTGCCCACAGTACAGTTGCTACGGCCCCAGAGTTTTTCTTTGTTGGAAAGTAATTCAGTTCCTATTCATTTTTTTGTGCAAGCCTGTCCTGTTGTATAGAAAATCTTCTGTGTACCTAGATCTGCCTGTGAAAACAGTCTTCTAGAGAGTGGCCCTTTGGCCCAGAGTTAACACCGGCCCCACTGCACCTTCTCCTCAGTGCAAGATAAACCCCACACTCGATCACAGCGTAGATCCAGCCCGGGCTCTGTTTGCCACCTTTACTACAGTGTGCTTTCAGCCTCCCAGGATATCTGTGTGTTTTCTGGACATAGATTTTCTCCTGGCCAGATCTTTGCACATACTCTTTGTTATCCCTGAAATCTTGCCCTTCCAGCACACTCTTCCACGTGCAGTTCCCTTGTTTGTTGATTTGTTTGTTTGTTTGGGGAGGGGGCGGGGGGGGCACACTCATTGGTGCTCAAGGCTTACTCCTGGCTTTGTGTTCAAGAATTTCTCCTGGCGGTTTACTCCATGGCTTAGAGGCCAGCCACACACGCTAGGGGAAAAGGCAGCTCAGATAGAGAAGGGAGCGCCAAAGAAAGGGTGTTGGGAGGATCCTCCCAGGATGGGAGCTGCATGCTGAAAGTAGACTATAGACTGAACATGATTGCCACTCAGTGCCTCTCTTGCAAACCACAGCACCCAAAAGAAGAAAGAGAACAAAAGGGAATGCCCTGCCACAGAGGCAGGGTGGGATGGGGGGATAGAGGGGGTGGGAGGGATACTGGGATCAGTGGTGGTGGAGAATGGGCACTGGTGGAGGGATGGGTCATTGTATAACTGAAACCCAAGAACAAAAATTTGTAAGTTTACAACTGTACCTTATGGTGTTTCACTAATAAAAATTAAAAAGAGAGAGAGAGAGAGAATTCCTCCTCGCTCAGGGGCCTATATGTGGTGCCAGTGGTCTTAGATTGGCCTCTTACAAGGCAAGTGCTTTACCCAAGTATACTATCTCCCCAGCCCAGTATTCTGTGTTTGAAAATGACTGTGAGGGTAACAGAGAGATGTTAGTGGGCTAAGCACAGGCTTTGCATTCAGGAAGCCTCAGGTTTAATCTTAGCCCCATGGGGCTGGAGCGATAGTACAGGAGGTAGGGCATTTGCCTTGCACACGGCCGACCCGGGTTCGATTCCCAGCATCCCATATGGTCCCTTGAGTCACTGCCAGGAGTAATTCCTGAGTGCAGAGCCAGGAGTAACCCCTGTGCATCGCTGGTTGTGACCCACCTCCCCCAAAAAAGCCTAACTAAATAAATAAAAATAATCTCAGCCCCAGGTGATCACCTGAGCACTGCTGGGAGTGATTAAAAAAAAAAAAGTGGAGGCGGGGAAGGAAAACGTAGTTTTATGATTTTGGTGTTTGTCATATTAGCAAGTCTCTGGAGACTTCTTCCAAACAAGATTATGTCTTAAAATTTTGTGTTGACTATACATTGCTGGAAGTCAAAGTCTGATGAGCTACGTGTTGGGTAAGCACATAACTTTCCCTTGACCATCTCTCCGGCCTATTTTTCTTTTTTTTTTTCTTCCCTCTTTTTGAGTCACACCCAGCAATGCTCGGAGGTTACTCCTTGCTCTGCAGCTCAGGAATTACTCCTGGCCATGCTTGGGGGACCCTATGGGATGCCGGGGATTGAACGCAGGTCAGCCGCGTGCAAGGCAAACACCCTCCCCCCCGCCCCCCCCCCCCCCCCCCCGCTATCGCTCCGGCCCCTATTTGTTTATTTCTTGTATGTTTTGTCTCCTTACTGGTTTGTACTTTATGTGTTAATTATTTATTAGTTAACTTTAGAAATACTCATCCAGAGGCTGGAGCAATAACGCAGCACAGGTCAGGGTCTTTGCCTTGCATGCAGCTGACCCAGATTTGATCCCTGGCACCCGGTATGGTCTCCCCAGGCACCGCCAGGAGTGGTCCAAAACCCCAAACAAAACCAAAAACCAAGAAATATGTGTCTGTACCTCAAACTAGTTGTAGACCGAGTTCTGAAAAGAAAACAGACAGAACATGTCCCTTATGATGCTCATTCCCTCATTCCCCTTTGTTTTGCAGACTTCAGTGCCAAAAGGAAGAAGAAAGTAGCAGAGATTCAGCAGGCTCTGAACAGTGACCCCACGGATGTGGCTGCACTCAGACGCATGGCGATCAGTGAGGGGGGCCTCCTGACCAATGAGATCCGGCGCAAAGTGTGGCCCAAACTCCTCAATATCAGCACCAGTGACCCCCCACCTACATCAGGTGAGGGCTGGCATGGACTGCGAGGGCAGCTTTTTGGGAGACCAACTGGTTTCAGAATCTTTTCTTTCTGTGCAATAAGGGAAAGTGGGGTACACTCTGGCTCTGTGCAGTTCTGTGCTGGAGACTACATACGGTACTGGGAATTTGTTTATTTTTGGGGGACACAGCAGGCAGTGCTCAGGGGTTACTTCTGACTCTGCACTCAGGAATTACTCCTGGCAGTGTTCTGGGGACTATTTGGGATACTGAGGATTAGAGCTGGGTTGTCTGTGTGCAAGGCAAATGCCTTGCCTTGTACTATCACCCTGGCCCAGTACTTGAATCAGGTTCGCAGCATTGCATGCACTCTGTTCATTGAGTTGTCTCTCTGTCCTTCTGTGTTTTTCTAAAATCAAGAATAGAGGAATTAATCTAAGGCATTTTAAGTTATGGTTGAGCCTACCTTGAAAATAAGATCAGACTAGGGTTTTTTGGGGGGCTGGGACATACTTGGTGGTGCTCACGGCTTACTCCCTGCTCTGTGCTCAGCTGAAATTTCTCTCTCTGGCCCCAGTAAGTAGAATTTTATTCAAAATTGGAATTGCCTTGTGTTAGATAGGTAGCTTTCATTGTTGAGCCTGAGGAGTATATTAAAGATGCACATTCCAGGGACTGGAGAGATAGGATAGTGGGTAAGGAGCTTGCTTTGCACACAGCTGTCCTGGGTTTGATCCCTGGCACTCCATATGGTTCTTCGACACCTTCAGGAGTGATCCCTGAGCACTGCTTGGTTTAGCTAAAAAAGACAAAAAGAAAAGAAAACAATGTATTTTCTGGGGACCAGGTATGAGACTCAACCGTAGAGCACAGACTTTGAATTTGTGAGACCCTGGGTTTTACCTCCAGTACCAGGGTCGACTGATAGGGAGTATATTCCATTTGCTTAGAAGTAGGTTGTGGAAATTTGTCTCTTAACAAGCACCCTAGGTAATTACGATGCAGATGGACTACATTTTGAGAAACATGAGGCTGCAGGGAGAGTTTATCCTTTAAAAATCCCTTTTTCTTGGGAAATTCTGAGATCCCTTTGAATTCCTAAGTTGCTTAATTTTGTGCCTAGCTTGCTAACTGATTTGTAAGGCCTGTGTAGTAGAAGGTCTTTCTCGGAGTACGGTACAAAATGAAAGACTTTTTCAAGTGCTGCAGAATAAGGAGTTTGCTTTGTCATTCATTCACTGAACAGACATTCCCTGCTTTCTCGGTATGCGTGGCACACGTCCAGGCACTGGGGACTTTTCCATTCATTTGGCAGATATTGACTGTGCTCTCTGTGCCAGGTGCTGGGCAGATGAAAACAGGACAGTGTCGCGGGGGAGACTGTTGGTGTTAAGTTGCTGCCTGTTGTTATCTTTGGCACCAGCAGCCTGGGAGCAGTCAGCTTTTTCAGGGGAGAAAGAGTTACCGTTCCCCCATTCTGAGTCGACTCTCTTGGATCCACCGTTTCCCACACCTCTGCAGGATGATGTGGGTGTAGAGCGGGGGTGCTGGGCAAGGACCCTGGTGGTGTGGCTTCTCCTCGAGGAGGAGGACATGTGCAGTTGTTACGTAACACTCCACTTGGCTCCAGGGAACGGCACACCTGCTGTATAGTGTAACAGAGAGAGTGGGTCTCCTTCGTGCTGTCTTGGCTCCACAGCTGAACACAGATGCCACCTTTGGTCTGTGGGGCCTTGTTTTAGCCTTTGGTTCAACCTCTCTTCCCTCATGTGAATTGGGCTTAGTACACCTCAGGCTCAGTCGGTCTCCCTGAACTGTGCAGAGGTCGGAGTTCTTGTTGCTAGTTTCCACCTTTGGGACTTTTGCTTTTGTTTGTTTGTTTGTTTGTTTGGGCGCCATACCCAGCACTACTCAGGGGCCTTCCTCCTGGCTGACTAAGGGATCACTCAGGAATCACTTCTGACAGGACCTGGGGGAACCAAATGGGGTGCCGGGGAGGGAACCGGTGTTGGCCGCATGCCAGGCAAGCGTCCTGCCCACTGTATGAGCGCTCCGGCCCCTCCTCATGCAGGATCTTCTCTGAGCCTCACAGTAGCCTCGCAGGTACACAGGGAAGGGACTTGTCTCCGTTTGACCAGTGTGGACCCTGAAATTCCGAGCAGCCCCTGAGAGATGCACAGTGGCCCCCGACTGGCTCGGTCAGTCCCCTCCCGTTCTTGCCTCTGTTCATCTGCACCCTCCTCTCCTGAGGAGGCAGCCGGTTTGGAACTCACTAGGTTCCGTTTTGTCTTGGGTCAGAGCTTCTTTCAGATAAATCCGGACTTTGTCTGCCAGGTCTTTGCTCCCAGCCAGCCCCTCGCTCACGTGTTCCCTTTCCCCCCACAGGGAAGGACTTACGACAGATGAGCAAGGACTACCAGCAAGTGCTTCTGGATGTCAGGCGGTCTTTGCGGCGCTTCCCTCCTGGTGAGACGCTCTCCTGGTCTTGTCACACGAGACTCCTCGGCCTCGTTACTCTCGCTTTCTTGTGGTTGCACATGCTAGAGTCAAGGCTCTTTGACCCCAGCACTCATTGAGGCCAAACAGGCAGGAGACCCTGTCTCCCGTTATGGAGTTGTCCTTTTTTTCTTTTCTTTCCCCCTTTGGTCTTTGGGTCACACCCGGCAGTGCTCAGGGGCTAACTCCTGGTGGTACTCAGGGAACCATATGGGTTCCTGGGAATTGAACCTCGATCCGCCACGTGCAAGGCCAACGCCTTATCTGCTGAGCTATGACTCTGTCTCCTGTGAGTTGTCCTTTGGTGGACTCGGGTATACTCAGAGCCTGGACTAGAACCACTTTCCCATGACTGAGAGTTGATGAATGAGAGGAAAAGGGTTTCCAGCCCCCAATACCCTTCAGAGCCATAGAACGACCTTCACTGGAATTGCCGAAGCCATCGGTCTGGCGTCATTTATTATGTGTATTTAGAGGTCTGCTCCTGGCTCTGTTCAGGGGGGGTCTCTCCCAGCAGTTCTGGGGGACCCTGCAGTGCCAGGGCTAGACCCTGGGCCTACATGCAGCATGTGCTCAGCCTAACTTTCTGGCCTGCCAGTGTGGCTTTAAAGATTGATTGAGAAGTAGACATTGTCAAGCTCTTTAATTTCCTCATTTGGCGATAGATGTGTTGGATCCCGTGCTCTAGAGAGGAAGCTGTTCTCTGCATATTGAAAGAGTTTGTGTCTGTGTCTGCTGTGCTGGGGACTTCAGAGGAAGGACAGTGGGCAGGACACTTGGTGGGCACACCACTGACCTGGATTCCACCCAGGTACTCCTCTATGCTCCCGTAAGCACAGAACACCTGGAGTAAGCACCACCAGACACCGCCCAAAACACCCCCATAAAAATAATAATAAAATTAAGTGTGTTCTCACATTGCCTTACCACCCTCGGGGAAAAATTGGCATGACTATTGTCTTCATTTTCTTTTCCTTTGGCTGTGGCATTATGTTAGGCCACACAGGAACAAGAGTCTATGTAATCTGTAGCTCTCTCTTCTGAGACCAGGCTTGGGTTGGAATTGTTGAAGGGCCCTCTAACCTGCTCCGCGCCGTTTCCTGGAAAGGCCCTCTTGATGCCAGTAGCCTGCCACCTTGATTTGATAAAAGCAGTTCCTGGTTCTGGCTCCTTTTTTTTTCCCTTCGACTTGGACGAGACTTCACAGGACAAATTTTATCCCATTTTGTTTCTTACATTGTCTCATTGTCTGTTTTCCCTTAGAACCCTTTTTTTCTCTTCTATTTTTATGACATCCATCTGTTTCGTATAGTCTTTCTGTGAGCCTGACTTTTCTCGTGGTTTCATACTTTGCATTTGAGTTCTTCTCAGCTTATCTGACCCCTTTTATACAAAGAATTTAGTTTGTTTTCACATTACCTTACGTGCCACAGTACTTCGATTATTCCATTTTTCTCTTGTCTCCTCACCCTCCAGCCTCCCCAACACCCCCTGCTCCCCTTTTAAAACTGCATTTTTGGAAAAGGGAAAGGAACTAAGGACAAGAAATTAACCTTTTTTTTTTTGAGGGAGTGGCACCCCCATTTTATTTTATTTTATTTCTTTTTCTTTTTTTCTTTTTTTTTTTTAATGTAGGAGTACTGTTATTTATTCAGCCACTGATTAGGCTGATTGAATTGGGCATGAACACCACCTTTTTTTTTTCATAATTTTATTTATTGAATCACCATGAGAGCAGTTACAAAGCTTTCAGGTTAAGTCTCAGTCATACAATGAAACACTCGTATCTTCACCAATGCCCATTCTCCACCACCAAAAACCCCAGTATACCCCTATCCCACACCCTCTCCCTACCTGTGGGCAGATGATTTCCACATTACTCTCCCTCTACTTTGATTACATTCAATATTTTGACACCAGACCCACCATTATTATTTGGGACTTTACCCCAACACTCAGCTCTGCCGAAAAGGCAGCAGTAGGCAATTTGTTTTCTATTGCTGGTTATGAATAACATAGGATGTCGCGCAGCAGTAGTAGTAACCACGCAGTTTTGAAATAATGAAATTTTAACAAATAAATCTGGAGGGATTTCTTCCAAAAGCCGTTGGGGTTCGAGATTTGTTTCTGAGTCTCTGGGATCATGGCCGTTAAGCAGTTCGATCAGGAACCAGAGAGGCCATGCCTGCAATTATATAGCTGAGCCGGAGGTGGTTTGTGGGTGTGTCTCCCACATACCTAACTCTGGCCGTTTACTTTCTTGGCAAACTTTCCCCCAAGCTTTTGGGGTCTGGCCAAAGGCACAGCAGCAATTTTGGGGTATCTGGAAGTCTGAAGGCGCCACCAGGCTGCTGATGCACTCGCCTCACAGGTACAGATTGACCTGCTGGCGGCACCATACTCCCGTTGTTCTCTTTTTAAACCCTTTGTGGATTTAGAGTGGGCTCTTACATTAGCCAGTTGCTTTCACAATATCTGTTTTTAACCCCAAAAGAAAAAGGTATAGAAAAGTAGTGCTCTGTGCTGTTCTTCTAAGAGGTTCATAATGTCAGGGTTTGGCATTTTTCATACTAAAAGCCAGAATTCAGGTACCCCTCTGCTCATTCCCAGAACCAGCTGGTGCTCCAAAAGAGCTCTCAAGACAGGTTCTCTGAGTCCAGCCCCATCTTTGGGTCAGGAAGATCAGTGTTTAGTATGGAGGGGAGCACTTGACTCCTACTTCTTATTTTTATATAATTGTATACGCATTGAAACATAGACTAAAGAATTCCCTAGATAGCTTTTATGTAAATTTCTCTCTCTTACTTGGCAGAGGGGCTGGGTTCAGGCCACACCCTGCATGCTCAGGACTTTGTCCTGGTTCTGTGCTCCGGGGTCATTCCTGGAGAGTCATGGGGATACATATGGAGTGTTGGGGATCCACCTAGCATCAGCTGAATGCAAGGCAAGTGCTCTGCCCACTGTACTATCTGTCTGGCCACTGCCCACATTTCTTTATGAACATGTCACCATATTTTTAAAAATTTCTTTAAATTTTTTTTATTCTCTGACTACATGAAAACTTTTCCTGAATTACTTAAGAATACATGTTTCCTATTACCCCTAAATATTTCAGGATTTCTTAAAAACAGGGCTCTTGCATAATCACAGCTACACCTACCAAATCAGTTACAACATTGAACAATACTATTACCTAACCTGATTTCATTTATATTTCATCATTTATTCTAGTAATGTCTTTATAGGAAAAGGAAATGAAAATTGATGTATTTCCTGCTAAACTGTATCTCACTAGCCTGTTTGTCTTGGGGAGACACCTGGTGGTGCTCGGGGCTCACTCCTGAGCTCTGTGTTAAGGGGTCACTCCCAGTGGGGCTCAGGGCAGATGGCTTCTGGTTACTCCTGGTTCATGCACTCAGGAATTACTCCTGGCCGTGCTTGGGGGACCATATGGGATGTTGGGAATTGAACCCAGGTCGCCCTTGTGCAAGGCAAATGCCCTACGCACTGTGCTATCACTCCAGCCCCCCATTACCCTTTCTAAACCTGAAATCATTCCTGCATCTTTGTGCCTGTTAGTACACAGTTATACTCGATCCGGGTCTGTCTAGTACCTTTTTGTTGTTTAGTTCGGATTCCCTTGGGTCCCCTTGGTAGCAGTTCCAGAGCGGTGGTGCCAGTGTTTGCCGTGCATCTCACTGGACACAGCTGCCCAGTGAGCCCTGTACTTGCAGGGTTGTGAGCTGCAGTGAGTCGATGAAGAGAATGTCATCTGGACTCCTCCATCCCCACCCTGCCTTGTCAGGTGCCGGTCTGCAGCTCTGCCTGCTGTTCCCTGGTGGGATCAATGGCGTGTGTAGCCTTGATAGGAATTTCCAGTAGCATCTCACTCCCTCTGAGAAGACTCTCTCCTGGGAAAATCTGGTGCTGCCCTCCTGGCCTCTGTGTCTGTAGACTGCGTGACGCGTTCCGTGCCTCTGCCCACGCCTCTCCCTAGGTATGCCGGAAGAGCAGAGAGAAGGGCTGCAGGAGGAGCTCATCGACATCATCCTCCTCGTCTTGGAGCGCAACCCGCAGCTGCATTACTACCAGGGCTACCATGACATCGTGGTCACGTTTCTGCTGGTGGTAGGAGATGATCTGGCGACATCCCTGGTAGAAAAATTGTCTACCCATCACCTCAGGTACCAGTGCGGGGGCGTCCAGGACAGGGGTGTCACTCCATTGTATTGTCAGTTTGTCTAATGCTTTGGGCCCTGCTTTGCCCTTACCCCGGATCTAATTGCGTGGTCTGATCAGGGCTCACTGAGTTTTCTCCCTCTAGGGATTTCATGGATCCAACAATGGACAACACCAAGCACATATTAAACTATCTGATGCCCATCATAGACCAGGTGAATCCAGAGCTCCATGACTTCATGCAGAGGTATGTATGTGCCTGCACTCACGTGTACATACGCACACATCTCCTGCAGTTTTCTTCTGGTCTGTATCTTTCCTCATAGTCTCATCCCCATCTTAGGTTCATTGGTATTAATTTCTAGCTTAATTTTTTTTTTTTTTTTTTGCTTTTTGGGTTACACCCGGCGATGCACAGGAGTTACTCCTGATGGTGTTCAGGGGACCATATGGGATGCTGGAAATTGAACCCAGGTCGGCCGCCTGCAAGGCAAATGCCCTACCTGCTGTGCTATCTCTCCAGCCCCTTCTAGCTTAATTCTTTTGAGGCTTTTTTAAAATGCTCTTACTACACCGGAGAGATAGTTCAGTGGGTAGGACACTTGCCTTGCACATAGCACGGATCAGATTCCCTGGCATCCCATAAGGTCCCCCAAGCATGTCCAGGAGTAATTCCTGAGTGCAGAGCCAGGAGTAACCCCTGAGCACCTCCAGGTATGACTCCAAAACAACAACAACAACAAAATGCTCTTTGTCCTTTCCACACACCAGCAATCTGGATGCTTCATCTATACACAGCTCTAGAGCACTTGTCCAATGCCTTGCTCTTGTGGGGAAATGAGAAATGTCATAGCCCATGTCCTAGAGGAGTTCACCTCTAGTGGGAAGAAACCGATAAGAAAAATATGCCAAGGTAGGCTTTGAGGAAAATATGCCAAGAGCAAGGCATTGAGTCTTGAAGGACCAAGAACACAGATCTCAGACTTACTCAACCTACTTTCTCCTTTTCAGAAACATAAAAGCACTCAGCTTCCTCCTGAAAATAAAGTGCCTCCCAATTACACCTGAGATGACAGTGTCCCCCACCCACCCACAGTGTTTCAGGGTCCCTCCCCTCCCCCAGTAGAGGTTCCCACTTTGGGAAACCCCGGATGCTAGAGGCAAGGAAGACAAAGTCAGCGATTTTAGTCACCAAATGGAAAGGAGAAGTAATATTTTGTGAAATTGCTCATGGATTTTTTTCTCTCTCTTCCATTCAGTTGAAAATATGTCTTTTGCCAATGCCTTGTTATATTTTAAAAAATGGCTGTGTCTAAAGATGTTTCTAATAACCTAACACAGATGTATTTTCAAACCCCTGAGGATATGTGTGTACGCCCCCAAAAGATCCTAGAAAGCTGGTATGGGTGGGCAGGGGTGTGTGTGTGTGTGTGTGTGTGTGTGTGTGTAGGGGGGTTGTGGAGCTACACCCAATGGTGTTCAGGGCTTACTCCTGACTGACTGAACTCAGGGATTGCTCCTGGCGGACCCCTGGTGGTGCTAGGGATTGGTCAGACAAATGCAGGGCAAGCATTTGCCCTGGACGATCTCTCGGGCCCCCAGCATCCTGTTTCTCCTTGTTCCTGTTATGGACATTGTTTTGCCGCTAGAATACTCAGTGAGAGAGGCCCCCAGAATTCTCCTTGTGTATTAGGATCTCGTGGGGTTTTGGGTTTTTTTTTTTTTGGCTTTTTGGGTCACACCCGGCGATGCACAGGGGTTACTCCTGGCTTTGCACTCAGGAATCACTCCTGGCGGTGCTCAGGGGACCATATGGGATGCTGGGAATCGAACCCTGGTTGGCCGCGTGCAAGGCAAATGCCCTACCTGTTGTGCTATCACTCCAGCCCCGAGGATCTCATGTTTTATGCAGAGAAAGCACTGAGTTCCTCGGGGGCTGACTTTCCAGAGAGGATGTTTCCCAAATACTTCCTCTGCACATTGGAAAGACGTAAGTCCTGGCTGACGAGGTGGGGACCCTAACATCTGCCTTTCCTTGCTCCTAGTGCTGAAGTGGGGACCATCTTTGCCCTCAGCTGGCTCATCACCTGGTTTGGACACGTCCTATCTGACTTCAGGCACATCGTGCGGTTATACGACTTCTTCCTGGCCTGCCACCCTCTGATGCCCATTTATTTTGCAGCTGTGGTAGGTTCAGGCCCTGAGCCAGCAGATAGACTCGCCCTTCCCCATCCTAGCCTGATCCTATCCCCTGCCCCTGGGGTTACACAGAGGCGTGAAAGACAGCAACCGCTTTCATGCCTGAACATGATTCAGTGCGTCATTGGTGGGTCAGAGGTGGAGGGGAAATGCTCTGTGTAAAGAATGCTCTGGCATTCTGAAAATGCCAGTCAGCCAGAGTTAAGCAGACGTATTTATCAATTTGATTATTTTGAGCATTTTTAAAAAATGTTCTTGTAAATTATCAGTGTTCCTATTGATAGCTGCTGGCACACTTAAGCAAACTGCAGAACACCAGATCTTAAAAAGAACGGGTGTGGTGTTGGGGTAGAAAGTGGGGGTGGCTTGTGGTTGGTTGGGATGGGAGAGCTGAAGGTATAAGAAGGGTCTGGATCATCAGAGGGGTTGTAGAGCGGGGGCTGTGGGGCCAGACTGTTCTGGCTGTTCGGGACTGGTCCATCAGTACTGGAGCTCCAACGAGCTCCTGGTAATCCCTCTCGTCTCCTTCCTCCTGAAAGATTCTCCCTCCTTTAAGGATCAGCTTTAAATATTGACGGAGGGAACTTTACCTCTAGCAGAAAGGGCCAGGTCAGTTGGAGAAGCCCTGAGATATGGACGTTCGGGCTTGCTAGGTGGATACAAGAGCTTGTGGAACGTTGGGGGTGAGCCCTGCCTGGTACCAGCCCAAATTCCTCTCCTAGTAGGATGCGATGCAAATGGCGAAGGCCCTGTGTGTTCTGGTCTCTGATGTCAGGCCTTGCTCCCCGTAGATCGTGTTGTATCGAGAACAGGAAGTCCTGGATTGTGACTGCGACATGGCCTCAGTCCACCACCTGTTGTCCCAGATCCCTCAGGACCTGCCCTATGAGACGCTGATCAGTAGAGCAGGAGACCTCTTTGTTCAGTTTCCCCCATCCGAACTCGCCCGGGAGGCGGCTGCCCAGCAGCAAGCAGAGCAGTGAGTGAGGGCAAGGTGTTGGTTGAGCAGGGGGTGCCCAGAGGCGGGCAGTAGTGATGCGAGACTGCGTGTGGCGGGGCTAGGGCTGAGGGATGTCGCCTGACTTCTGAACCCCCACTCTTCACTCCCGCCTCCAGGGATTGTTCTCAAGAGACGCTTCCTTCCCGAGTAAATGGGTGGCTCCACCCTCAGCCCGTTCACTGTCGCTCTCCTTCCCTTCCCTTCCCTTCCCTTCCCTTCTCCGTGCAGACCATCTCCTTTCCTCTGTCTCCTTCCCCTCTGCAGAACGGCAGCCTCTACCTTCAAAGACTTTGAGCTGGCCTCCGCCCAGCAGAAGCCCGACATGGTGCTGCGGCAGCGGTTCCGGGCAGCTCTGCGGCCTGAGGACCGAACAAAAGATGTCCTGACCAAGCCCCGGACCAGCCGCTTTGTGAAACTGGCAGTGATGGGACTGACGGTGGCACTGGGAGCGGCCGCTCTGGCCGTGGTGAAGAGTGCCCTGGAGTGGGCTCCCAAGTTTCAGCTGCAGCTGTTCCCCTAGGGCCGAGGCGGGCGCTGCCTCTCACCTACCACGGCGAGGTCTCGCGCTTCCATCTGGGGCAGGGAGGGTCGGGGCTCCTTTATTAAAAGGGTCTCTGGCAAGGGTCTTCTCTTCCTGCCCCATTTCCCTGGTGGCCCACGGTTTCCCTGCCACGTGGCAGCTGGGTGTGGCACTCTCCTCCACACCGTGGGCTGCTGAGTGGGCTCCGGGCTGTCTCCTTGTGTGTTGGGGTCAGCTGTGTTTGATAACCCTCTGCGCCTGGCAGCTGGGGGCCCACTCGGCTGCCCAGTGGTGAGGAAGCCGGACCGCTGAGCTCGCTCCTCACGGCTCCTCCTGTTCTGTCTGCATCAGCCAGACAAGGGGGACAGGAGCTTTGCCAAAGAAGTGGGACCTGGGAACAGAACCAAGGGGCAGGAGTGCTCACCCAGAGCCAGGTGAACCCCTCAGGAGCTGCTCCTTTGCTGATCGGAATTGAAGGGACATGTGAACTAGGTGAACCTGTTTTCCACTTAGAACTCACTTGGGCATTTCCAGCCATCTGGGAAGGAATGTTCATTTCAGGGCACAGACCTAGCGTGGTTTTGCTTGGTGTTCCCCTCCTCCTTTTCTTTTCCTTTTCACCTCTGTATTCTTATCCACAGCCACATGACATAGCTTATGAAAGGTACCTTTATTACTGTTTTTCAGACTAACATACATCTAAGATGTAAGTACCTTCATTTTTAAGAGTTCCTGTAGAACTCAGAAGCATGAGGTACTGACTCTGAGGTTTTGGGGTTTTTGGTTTTGTTGTTTTGTTTTGGGGCCACATCGGGTGATGCTCTGGGGTTACTCCTGGCTCTGCACTCAGGAATTAATCCTGGCAGTGCTCAGGGGACCATATGGGATGCCTGAAATTGAACTGAGGTTGGCTACATGCAAAGCAAGCTACCTACCCACTGTACTCTTGCTCCGGCCCCTGGTTGTTTTATCTGTTTTGGGGTCACCCACCCAGTAATGCTCAAGGGTTACCCCTGGCTCTGCACCCAGGAATTACTCCTGGTAGTGCTCAGAGCAGACCATATGGGATGCCAGGGATCGAACCCAGATCTGCCACATGGAAGCTTGTGATACTGCTCTGGGCCCACTCTGAGGTTTTCTTTCTTTTGACATTTTACTTAGCCAGTGTTGCTTTTTGTAAAACATCCCTACCGTTTCCAAAGTGCCCACAACTTGTTCAGTTTCCCTCCCTTCCTTCATTTTTTCCATTTCCTCAGATCATCCCTTCTGCTCCTGCACGGATGCCCACTCACTGCCTTGGCTGCTTTTTTTTGGGGGGGGGAGGGGGTTGATTTCTCTCCTTAAAGCTGGTCTCTCCTTCCTGGTTGGAAATGTTGTTGGGGACCCGTCCGCACCCAGAAAGGACACCCCACTGCCCGAAGAACTGCCGCGGGCTCCCCAGGACTTAGGGAACAAGACAGATCATTCATTCCTTCCAGGACACCTGCTCCTGTAAGCCAAGCCAGGTTTGTTTCATTGTTTCAGATGAACTCTGGCTTGGGGTTAAAAAAAAAAAGTGCCTTCCGCTGCTTTAAAGAATTGCGCCTACAGCAGAAGCAGCTGTATTCTTTTTCCCTGGTCTTTCCTGGGCACTGTTCTCTCTTGGCAGATCCTTTCTTCCGGGGAAGCTGCCAGAAGCACTCCGCCCACCACCCCCAGACCTCAGGCCTCCCACATGACCGCAGCGCAGAGCCGGGTCATCGCACTGGTGGCCGGCCGGCCAGCGCAGAGCGGTCGGGCAGGCTGTCGCCACGGAAGTCCATGAAGCACTTTAGAACCTGGCGCTCTCAGAGTGACGGGTACTCTCCCGAGGGTGAGTGTGAGGTCACGGGCGGATGACTCGAGCGTGGTGGGCCGGCAGGACAGATTCTCCAGAGCTGCTGCTGCTGCCGCCGTCTACACTCGCGCCACGTGTTTGTCCTCCTGTCTGTCATCTCTGCAAATGGACACAGCCACACCCCTCCGGCCTCCAGCCAGGGACCCAGGCATCTGGGCATACTGAAGGAAGGGCTGGAGGGAGAGGAGAGGAGGTGCGTGTGTGTGTGTGTTCAGGGGCCGGAGGCCACAGCCTCCGATCCCAGGCAGCAAGTGGCGTTTGCTTCCGGTGTGGCCAAAGGAGAAAGTTCGTTTGTTTTACAGCTTTGCTGACATCAGGATTCTTCCCTGCCGAAGAGAAGAGAGCATTATCTTTTTACCTTCCGCTGGTTTACTATTCTGTAAAGAATATGTGTAAATATTTTGTACAGAGCCCTCTATGAAATAAACAGCCATATGTGGTTACTAAGCCTCGTGTCCTTGTCCCCCGCTTGTTGGGAAATGAACCCTGCTCGGCATCTGCCCTGCCCTGCTCCGGCCTGTCTCCGCCTCGCCCCAGGAAGTGTGGCTGCAGCGGCTGCCTCTGCTCACAGGTAGGTAGCAGAAGGGTGTTGCCACTAGTCTGGGGGATACCTGACCAGTTCTCCATGTCTCATGCGTCGTTCTGGACATGCCTGTAGCTGTAAAGGCTGACCCTGGGCCTGGGACCCCATTAGGTCCCAGCGTGTCATCTCTCTCCACAGGGAAACTGTGGGGAGCCGTTGACTCAGCGCTCACCAACAGGCCACACTCCCGGCTGCATTCTGTGGGAACCCGGCGTGGGCCCGGGTGCCTCTGGCCTCTGCCTCGGATGCGTCCGGCCCCAGGAGGAAACCCTGTTGTGTGTGTGTGTGTGTGGGGTGGGGGGTTACTTCTGGGCCCAAGGACAGATTCGCAGAGATTGCTGGCAGAGCTATACTAACCCCTCTAGAAGGCCGCATTCCATTTGTGGTGTTGGTTAAGAATAGTTTGGTACTTGAAACAGTGAAGGAAGGGTGTGCGTGATACGTTGACTTTGTCTTGTGGTTAGGGGTCTGGTCTGGGGGCCACACCCAACAAAACACATGACTTACTCCTGCCTGTGCACGCAGGGATTACGCTTGTGGGCTTGGAGACCATATGTAGTGCCTGGGAAAGGACTCCTGATTTGCTGCGTGCAATGCAAGTGCCCTACATCCTGGACTATCTCCCTGCCCTCCGTTTGTCTCCAGTCCCTAACTATGGAATTCCAGTCTTTGTTCTTGGGCCCCACCTTGTAGAGCTTAGAGGCTACTCCCAGCTCTGTACTGGGAGTTGTTCCTGGCATTGTTGGGGGGCCGTATTTGATCAAACCCCACCTCCATATGGAAAGCCTGTGCTCAGCCGTTTGAGCTGTGTCCCTGGTCCTCGTGGGGCTTTATTTTTTTTTTAATCACTGACTTACAAGCCTCATAATACAGTTGTTATGGGCTTTCAATGTTCCCACAACTGTGTCACCACAAGACTGACCTCTTCCTGTCTCCCCAACCATCCCCCAAGCCTGTCCCCCCGTAGCAGGCCCCCAGTAATTTCTTTTATATTGTTACCACCACATGGCTAATGGAACTAACAGAAGAAATACTTCAGTAAAAGATTATTTATGAAAATTGTTGTATCTCACCATGGGAAAAATAAGTTTTCATCTGAGGGTTTGCTAAGCTGCTATTGCTAGTTGAGCCTTGTGTGGATATTTTTGTTCATTGAGCCTAGCTGGCTTCATTACAGTCCCATCCAATCTGGCGTGTCCCTACTGGGATGTTAGTATTAGCTTGGAGATGTTGCTCCAGAAAATCCAGACTATTTAACTGGGCCTTGAGCTTGTATGGTGGCGGTGATGGAATGTGGGTGTGGCTACCAGGGCTTCTGGAAGAGCAGGGAATAAGGTGGTCTGAGGGATAATCCAGCCACTACTGCAAGAAAACCCCAAGTTTTCACTCCAAAAAAAAACCCGTGTACCTGAAATTTTCAGTAGTTTGGCATCTCTGCAGAGCTCAGTCTGCCCATGGGGATAGTGGCGGCTGGTGCAGTGTGAATGTGGCTGCCAGGGCTTCATTAGGGCGGGGACTTAGACTGCCCCCCACCCAGGTAACCCCCGAGATTTCAGCCAGGACTGGTGAATCCTGAAATATTTTCAGCTAGTCAATTTCTTTCAAAATGTAATCAGGAGGGGCTGGAGCAATAGCACAACAGGTAGGGGCATTTTGCCTTGCACACGGCCGATCCAGGTTCGATTCCCAGCATCCAGTATTGTCCCGAGCACCTCCAGGAGTAATTCCTGAGTGCAGAACCAGGAGTAACCCCTGTGCATCGCCAGGTGTGATCCAAAGCGCAAAAAATAAAAAAATTATGCATCTTTGAAGCTGGGCTTACCTGGAGGCGGTGGAATGTGTTGTTTCTGTTTGTTGCATTTAGCTTCTGTATTACTTTCCAGTGTGCACCTACTGGAGTGTCGTTATTGTGGCATTTGGAGGTGTTGCACAGCTCATATGCAACTGCATGGTCCAGAACTTTCGGATCTCTACTAACTGGGCCATGATTGAGAAGGTGGTGGCTTTGGGAAGTGGGCGAGGCTGCCAGGACTTACTGAAGTATTAGGGGGTTGAGGGGAAATACCCGTCCACACTGAGAAGACACCAGAGTTCTGTGTGAAAAACTGTGTACCTGTACCTAGAATTTTCTGTTCCGTGTCTCTGCTGAGATTATTCATGACAAACAGAATTGGGCCTTTGGTGTAGCAGCAGCTGTGGGTAGTGGGTGCAGCTGTTGGGGCTTTAGCGGGATACTCGATCCGCCTCTATCCACCCCCCCCCCCAAGGGCACCTCAGAGTTTCCAGCCAGGAGACCAGTATCTGTTAATTGGAGCCACTTGGCTTCCATCTCAGAGATTTAGTTGTGGATCTAGAGAGCAGGGCCAGTGAATGCTCCTGTGGCATTTTGTAACAGGAGTGTCCCACTCCGGAAAGACCAAGTGATTAGAGGGGTGAACGTCAAAGTTACACGCTGATCTCAAGCAAGGGGCAGAGAGGCTGGAGATTGAGCTCTCTGGGTCCTCAGAAGATCCCAGGTTTTCTGGCCTCTGAAATAGAGGTGCTGGGAGAGCTTCCCCTTCTCTGTCACTTCCACTTGACTCTGCGTCGGGGCCTCTGTAAGACATGACTAAACCTAGTCTCTTCCTGAGTTCTGTGAACCCTCCCTCAAATGACTGAACCAAAGGGGCATTCTTAGCTCTGACTTGACAGGATGGGTAAATGTCCCACTGGGGCTGTGACATGGAGATGCAGCATTCTGGACGGACAACACTTACGGGGTTTGTTGTTAATTCTAGGCAGCCTGGATTTGTCCCGTCTGGTGTGGGAGAATCGGGGAGGTGCTGGCAGGACTTAAGCTGAGCTGAGCATTGGCAGAATTCCCACCGATCATAAGGAGGTCTCCCAGATAGCAGAGCCCAGAACACTGGTGTCGGGCAGGGCAGCTGGGCAGGCAAAGAGGGCGTGTCCGTAGAAGGGAACTTGGGCCTCAGCCATGAGGTCGGGCCACAAGACGGACATCCCAGCCCATGCTTTATTCACTTTTTTTCCAATGCTCAGGGCTTACTCCTGGAAGGACTTGGTGTATGCGGTGCCAGGGATCAAACTGGGGTCTGCCATGTGCAAGGCAAGCCCCTTAGCCCCTGTGCTGTCTGTCTCTCCAGCCTCCATGCCTTATTCTCGAGCACAGATTGCGAATCATCAGACATTACAGGACTGATCTGTGCCGTCTTGCCTGTGATGACCTTCTGCTCCTCAACGGAGAGGCCCATAGAGAGGCAAGCAGGAAGTGAATAGCCAGGGTCCGAGCCTGCAGGCCCTGACTCTCAGAACAGTGCCCGCTCCCCACGTGGGGGGGGGGGGGGTAGCCACTGTTGACCCAAACAGCTTGCTCCTCAAGCTGGGCCCAGGGGCAGTCTGATGCCTGGATTTCAAGCTCAGTCACACCCCCAGAAAGAAGCAGCTGGGTCTGGAGTGCACATAGAACATCTGCCTTGCACGCAGTCAGGCAAGCAAAGGGTGGGTTCCGATCTGGTCGCACGTGCTGAGCATCCTCTTTGCAGCTGCCATCTCTTTGTGAATCCCCCCACTCAACAACTCCCTCCCCTACACACAATGCTGGGGGGGGGGTCCTACCCCGACCCTCCCATGTTCTCAGAGAGACCACACTCATCCCTTCCTCAGAAACCGTTTAGTTGCTTTATAACAGAGGCAGACCTGAAAATCGCCAGGTCTCCCTCCTGGCTCTGAACAGAATTAGCAGCGATTCTAAGAGGCCAGGGCTCCTATCAATGGCAAAGGCAGAGAAGTTC